CAAACAGCTATCATGTAAAAGTGAAGATGAGCAACAAAGCACATCCAAGGGAAGCAAGTTGAGATCTAGGCCCTGAGGTTTGAAGGGGGGGGCTAAAGAAACCGAGCCAAAGAAATTCTAAAAAGGCACTTTTTTAGCTTAAAAAAATAAGATTAGAAACTGGCTTGTATGAGCCCAACTGTGATTAAAAAAATAAACCTTTTATAGTTAAGACAGATTTTTTTTTCTTTTTGTTCTTTGACTTTTCCTTGCAGAGAAAGAGGCTATCTTCACTTAATCAGAGCAAAGAAAGAGTGGCTGAGGCAGAAGCAGCATCATGTGGGTGAAGGTCAGGCCAATTTTCACCCATGTGATGCTGCTTTATCACTCATGGAACAAAGATTAAGGCCTTTCTTTCTTTATCCTTTTGTGCTTTCCCCCATTACTTTAACAGATCTGAACAAATCCCAGGCAGTTCATCCAAAAGTTCCTTTTAGCTACATTTAGTTCAGATCCTCTAAATTCCACATAAGACTTCATGCTATACCAACATGAAGAGGATATAAAATCCACATGTGTAGGGAGAAAAATGTTATAGAAAAACACAGAAATCATTGCAGAATATGATGCCAGCAAAGGCCTTTTCAGTTGCAAAAAAGGAGGTACATTCAGGAATCAGAGTTATCACTATTTTTATTCCCTTATTTATAAAGGAATGTATTTTACAGCTACACTGAGAGGCTGCATAAATACTGATGTTTGTTAAAGATGAATTTAACATCATAAAAATCTAGTTTAGCTCCAAGGTTCTGAAAAAACACCCCACACTAGAAATGCCAGTTTGTTGCTTCCTGTAAATAACTGTAAAAATATTATATCACAACAATTAGCTTACATTGCATATGTTTACACATCTTGTCAGTAGCCACCTTAATCAAACATACCAGAATTGCATCAACTGCAGAAATAGGTCAGGATGTAATTTTTACACAGAGTACCAGGGGACTGATTGAAAGGGCAGTTGCTGGATTTGACTGTGCTTTTCAGCCCTTTGGATTTATCCAAGTGTGGGAAGCAGCCCTTCCAGCTCACTGTTTGTCTCTGTTTCAAAAAAAGCTTCAGGAATGCCTGTTGCATTTATTTAATTTATCAATCTCTTGGTATCTTAAAACAATCAGTACAGTACACTGAGTCAAATAGTAGCAATCAGTTATGTAATAACTGCAATAATGACTGGCAGGTATATTTATGTCATTGTCTCAGCTACCTGTAACACTTACTGTTTTACATACACTGACTCACAACATTTAATAGATTAAAAGGTCTGGAAGATAAAGCAGTGAAACATTTCAGAAGTGAGACAGGTATCTTAATGTGGTTCCTAGCATTATTCCAGTGGTTTTTGTACCCCTGCAGTGATCAGAGTGTGTTTCCAGATTTCAGATTCCCTGTTTCTTTTGCAAACAGGGTAAATGCTACTCTTCCCCTAATGTGTTTTTAGGAGAGTGGGGAGAGCCATGCACAAAGCATCAGCTGAAGCATGGAACCACTGCAGCTTTTCATATGAAACACTAAATATTGGCTTATCCTCCTGTACCACATGTTATCATGTACTAGAGTGTCTCCTGAAGTTTTTAAAGTTTTGTACTGTTCATGTCTACAGGACTAAAATCTTTGCCTTATACTCAAGTCAACAGAAATGTTATCTTTGGCCCTAATGAGTCCTTGTTTCATCCAAGGAGTCCAAGAGAAATATTTCAGTGGTGGGTCCCTTTTACTTTGAGTAATTTTGAGACATGAAAAGTGCTAATATAGGTGTGAGAGGTCAGTATCTGAAAACTGTTTGGATAGGATAATATACAAATGCGTTCTTACTGAGGCTGACATGAGGCTAATAAATCTTGTTATGCATACATTTTTTAAGAGTATTGTATTCATATTGCTTGTACCTGAAAATATCTTCCTATAAATTGTCCAGATTTCTGATGCAATTCAAAGCATTCTCATTGTCTTACCAGAACAGATAATAAAACCAGATTTTTGGACTCTTTTAAACAGATAATGCCAGGAAGTTTCTGTCATGAGTACTGATAAACAATTTGGGTTAAAAAAAGCTTCAAAAACCCCTCCTGTACCAACCTAAATCCTACCTCCTTTTTTCAGAAAAGACCTTTGAATTGTGTTTCTTCTGGCTGTTTTGGTAGCCTTTCATCAGGTGACAATTTAACACTCTTGCTGAGATTCCTTGGCTAGATATTTGTAACAAAATTTAAATATCTTTCAAAGTAGTTAAATCCATATGGGAAATACTAGATATTTCTTATTTTCTACAAATGCTGATTTTCAGGCAATGTAATTTGTCTCAATGCAAGTGAAGGGCTGAGAGCAGTGGCTACAACCAGTAAGACATGACAAACTCTGGGACTGAGGTTTTGCTGCTCTGAAGGTGTTTCTGCACTCAGTCCACCCTGTGGATTGTACTGTGTGCTTTTCATCCTCTATTGGAGGAATATGAACTTGAGTAAATGCCATGTGACAGTGTGGCTGCTGTGGAATTTATTCATTTTTCTTGAGTAGGAGATCAATTAGTAATTACTTAAGGGCAGTCCTTATAGGCCATCTAGGTTGGCCCTTAATTAACCAACAAGACATGACAGGCAATGTATTTCTGGGCAATTTAGCACATCTCTTAGGGAGTTTTTAAGGCATGAGGCCGAAGGTCAAGTGACTTTAACCACCTGAGAAGTGCAGAAATCCCTTAGAAATACACTGTCTAGAGTGACTTATTGCTGTTATTAAATGGAATTTGTGAATAAAAATAAGAAAGACTGTCAGCCCCAGGCATGAATGGGGCATTATTAACATGGATATGACATTGTTGACAGCTAATCTAAAGCTCCATTTGTGTCCTGAGCTCTAGACCTATTTCTTTATACTGTATACTAATACAAGGAAGATATGTTACATTCGAAATACATTTTTACCATAGCAGTCCAATGAGACCAATGGACATAGTTTTTTTGGTTTTTTTTTTTTTTTTTTTTTTTTTTTTTTTGAGGGCTAAAATACATCAATTAAACCCTATATGCCTAATATCCTATTTTTGGACTATATCATAGAAGTCTCTTGAAAAAACAAAATATCCTCCCTAGGATGTAAAATTGCTGTTCCTGACATAGTCTCCCTTGCCACCCTGAGATCTGCCCTGAATTTGTCTCCTCCCTGGCTCAGCTGCTTCCCCTGTCCCCTGCTGCTGGGCTCAATGTGCCTGATTGTCTGTACATGTCAGTGTGTTCAGGTTGAGGAAGTGCACCACAGCAACATTCACATGTAGAGATGAATAAACAGTCAATTCTAGCACCTTTATCTTACCTACGTTTTTCTCTTTCTTTTCTTTTTTTCCTTCTGCTTTTAATTCTTTTGCCCCCCACAACATGAATGTTAACTTCTGAAGTGTATACATCCTTTCTTAATACCTTAAATTAAATATGTGTGGTGACACTGGCAAAGTGAAATTTGGAGTTGCAGAAAATGGACAAGAAACTGAACACCTGTTGTAAATATTATCTTTTGCTAGACTGCTTGTGTACAGATGTAGATATTTTGGCTTTGCTTGTTTCCATTGGCTTAAATTGTTCTTGGGTTTCTGTGCCTGTCGTTATCCTTACTCTGATTTGTGTCCTTCACTTTGTTGATTCCATTTGTTGATCTACAGGAACACCCAATTCCAAAGATCAACATCTTTTCTTCAGAGAAAAAGTGACAGAGTCGCATCCTAACCTAGCCCTGACAAGCAGAGCTCCATCATTTCTATTTCTAGAAATGAAATAATTTCTATTTCATTATGGGAAGGCTGCACACTTTGATGGTTTATTGATGGGGGGCTCCAGCTGCCCAGGGGTTTTCCTGCTCCTCAGCCCTGCAGTGCAGTAGAGGGTGGTGGAGGAGATGTTCTCTTTCCTAAGCCAGTGGCAGCATAAGAGAGCTGGGGAGAGCAGGTTCACTGACCTCTCTAACAGGGCTGCACTCTTGAGTCTGACTCCAGAAAGTGCTGGATTGTGCTGCCAGGAGGTTGTGACACACACAGTGTATCTCTGTTTTGTGGGAGGCTAAACAGCCACTTAGCATGTGGGGTCCAGTTCTTCTGCACATTCACAAGTACATCTGACATGTTATGAAAGTAATGGATCTATTGTGCATACCTCAAATATTTTAAGGGTGTGTGAATGCATATTTTTGTCTGGGAAATCCTGGGCAGAAATATGGAAGTACTGATGTGGATTCCTAGTTTAGGCTGACAGGAACTAAAGTAGGGCTTTCCATGCATGCAGACAATTTGGGGGAATTGTTGTAGGGTTAAAATGCAGGAATATTGTGTATATTCCCTGAATCAATTCTAACTACAGGGGGATATATCAGTTTGTCTTGGCATTCTTAGTGCAAGGAAAGGTAAAACAGGTTTAATAAGAGGCCTTTAAAAGTATACTTTGAAAATCACTGTTTTTAACAGCAGTGATCCATAAAGCTGGATTAAATCAGCATTTTTAACAGGCTGACTGCACTGTAGTTTGTGGAAAGTTCCTCATACTGCAGTGTGAGCCAAGTAATCTGAAATCTAAAAGTACTCTGTCCTAGTCTAGTACCAGTGCACTAAGAGAAAATTTCATATAATTGTTAATAGAAAAAAATGGTGATATTGTTTAGACACAAGGCTACTCTATTAAGTTTGAGCTGAAAAATCCTTTTTTTGAGCAACTCTGAAAACAAATTTTCCTGAAATTCTAACTGCCCTGAAACTGGTGATTTACTGTAAAACAGCAAGAGACATTACAAAGCAGATAATTCTGTGTTGTTGAAAAACTGAAACAGCAAGCAACAAAAAATAAAAATGTGCACATATTCTTGTACCAATGAAGAAGAAATGTTGGTTTTTGAGCACTTAATAAGCAATAAAATAAATTAAAAATAAAATAAAAAGGCTTGAGTCTAAGGAAACAAAGGAGATACAATTATTGACTCACATTTGTGGTTTGGATCATGCTGAAGGTGATACTGAGCCACAAGGAATGACTAATGAATTGTGGTCCACAATTCAAGACTACCTGGAAAAAAAAGTAAAAAATTAGCCCTTATGGGAGGAAAACTACCCCCACAAATGTCTGTACCTAGAGCAATCCTTATCATCGCACATGTTCTAAGACATGCATGAACTGCTGTCATTTATCTAGATTCAGCATTAACTGGCAGTTCTGAACTATTTTAAAAATGATCAAAAGCATGCAAAAAAAAAGAAAATAAAGGGGTGAAGAGAAGAACACACACTTCAGAGCTCCTCACATTTTACTGTGCATTGCTTCCCTGCTGTGTGATTTCTCTGTTTTAGCTTCAGTACCGCTGTGGCTGCTATCTGTCTTAATGGAGAGGTTCCATAGGTTTGACTGATCCTGTAGCCAAACTTGCTTCTGCCCATATTTGATCACCACACCTGAGACTGAGATGTCTAGGAGCCCTGGGCAGGCATAATGGCTTCTTAATCAAGCAGATGTATCCAAATAATTTTTATATCCAAATGATTCCTTTTACATCTAAATGTTTGCTTTAGTGGAGCTCACAGGTTTTGCAACCTCAGCCATTGATCTCTCCTCTTGTGTCTTTTGGCACCTGCTGCAATCAGCACCCAGGCTCAGGTCTGGCAGCTTGGGCACTGCCAACATGGGCAAGCCAGATGACTTTCTGGTATCTTTCACCACATAAAGGAGTCTTAATGTATTACAGATGTCCTCATTATAGGACATTACTCAGAGGTGCTTATTTTAAAAAGTGTGTGATTGAAGACTTTTAGATCATTTGTAGTAAAGGTTAGTTCTTGCTTTTAATATTAAGTCTAATGTAAACACCCTATAGAGTAAAAGACACAAAATCTTGCTGGTAGCTTAATTCAAAAGCTTAGTAAAGCACTCACACACAAATACTCCTTTTATACAGTTGATATACCTTACCCAAGGTAATATTGGCATATCTACCATGGCATAGCAATTTTCTCCTGTGGAAAGAATTCCATTTAAGTAACATTGTGTGCACTGGCGACTGTACTTCTATACCTTCATTGCATGCCACAGCCAGCTCATTGGATGCTAGATATACTTGCAGGAAGGCAAGTGCAATGACAGGAGTGTGCATGTGAGCACTGTCATGAATGTAAGGTAGCCTGTACAAGTGAAATTAAAACCACTTAATTATTAATTTCCTTATCCATTACTTATTTGAATTGTTATGGCCACATGGCCAAATTTGTTTCCTTGCACCGGATTAAGGTGTTAGAGAAAAATCTGTTCGTTACTGTGGCAGGAAAGAAAATAAACCAACCCAACAATCAAAGACGGCTGTTGCAATGATTTTTTGCTAAATGATGTGAAAGACATAACTCTTTGAACTTGTATTTAGCTACAGAGAATTTACACAGCATTTAAAGAGGGTTTTTTTAAATAAAACAGCTCATGCTTGCCCAGCTTCAACATGCACCAATTATTTGTACTAACTCTATTTCTCCTTTAAAAATGAGCTGTGCTCAGAAAAGATTTCCTGTGTCTAAAAACAGCTTGTTAAAAAACAATAGAAATTCACTGAAATTAATTATTTGGCACTTCTTCTTCTGATATCTTGCAGTGTATAATACCCATATGTGCTCTTAACACATTTATGAAACAATTTTTCATGAAGTAATGTAGTGTTGTGTATTAATAAATGTATTTTGAGGAAACAATTGTTATCAGTAAGAGTGTACATTTTTTAGAGAACATTTGGGTATCTTGGCCTTTATTTTGTTTTGAATTTCCAAAGACTTTTCATTGAAGTAACATTTACTTTTGAGGGGTGTAATTGGGACTCAGTACGCTCCGTGCTGTACTCTTTGATGTTCACCAGTGCTGTTAAAGAAATGAGTTAGAACTGGGATTCTGGTATCTGCTAGGGCAATTCTTAAACCCATAGGATGACTGCCTATTCATTGCTTCTCTTTCTGTATGTATTTATTGCCCTTTTCTTAAGGCTTCCTGAACTGTCATGATACAAGAAGACTCCCAATAAGCCAGAGAAGTAAGTCAGGTTTTTCAAGGGATTAAAAAAACATAATAAAGCCAGGCAAGTAGTTGGTTAAACTGATACTCAGAGGAACTGTGGTGTTTTTGGTTTGGGGGTTTTTGGCTGTTTTTTGGCTTCCCTTCTCCCTCAACTCCTTTTTGTCTCATTGCTTAACTCAAAAAAATGTGTCTGATGAGATATTGATACCTCAGGGAATAATACCACATTATTTTTTCTGCCTCTTGTATAATCATTTGTCTCTTTAAATTGACATCAGCTGAGGCCACTAAGACCCTCACACCAAAAAACACTTGTGACCCCCTGCACTGCCTTCAAAGCTTATTTTATACTTTCTGGTCTGCTTGTTTTTGATCTGAGGCACAGTACATATTTTGGGGGCAATTTCACATATTATAGCAAATTAGTCATCTTTGTCCCATCTACTGGCCTCTTTTGAGGTTCTAGAACAAGCCCTTTTCAGACAATAATTTTGCTTAGAATTAGTTTTCCAATAGCATAGGAGAAGAAAGTGATGCAGACCAGAAGCAGTAGCAGACAGTACTTTTCATTCGGGCTTAGCTGCTGTTTTCAGTCTAGAAGAGGTTTCTTAGACTGTTTTTCTTTATTGAGCTCTTCTGCTCTATCTGATCCCAAGACTGTCCACCATATAGCTTGAACTATTCTTCACCAAGGGAATTATCTGGTTTTGTCTCACTTAGCTTCTACTCAGGACTACTGTGCATCATAACTTATTCCACAAGATCTACATTCCTCCTCTGCAAAACAAGTGGTTTTGCTCCTGCATCAAAATCACAGGTCTGGGGCCCCTGAGAGGTGTATCTTTTCAGAATACTCCGAAAACAATAGGGGGAAACTGCAGATGAAGATCGCCTTATCCATCTGTTTTACACAGATGGTCTCACAAGGGATGGAGACCCAATACAACAGGAACATAGCGGTGGACTTGGCAAGAAGTGTCCATAGGAGATTCTTCAGGAACCAACTTATCTAGAGAGTGCTGTTTCGCAGAGTAAAGTTGTAATCACACATTAAATGGGAGATGGCCATCATTGAGGTGGGGTTGTCATGCCCATGCTTGAGCAGAAAAAGATAAAACAGCTTGGCTAACTTTTTTTCCCCATTATAACTCAGATAATCTAATTAAGATTGCCCCTCTGTCACCATAAACAGTTATTTCAGGTCAAAAAGCAAAGATTCTTTATGCACTTATCTTTGAAATTATGATATACCTAAACGCTGGTACACATGAATCTTAACAGTTAAATATGTCAGTTTTTGTGTTCATGTAACAAAATATAAATTTTGGCATTTAGCAAAGGGACAGAAAGTCTCCCAGGTAATATTCACAGCCCACTCATCAGTGATGTCTGCAGGCAAAACCTTATGGGAGACCTGCTTACACAAGGGAATAAATTCAAATTGGTGTACTCTGCTTGGCCTTTTCTGCACATCAACCTGGTGTCTCTGAACATGTCTTTGCACTCTTGTTCTATCCAAGGTAGAACTTGGATAGAACAAGTCTCTCTCACAGTCTTCTGTAAAAGGTGAGCACCTCAATTTTCTCCTGCTCATCACAAAGATTGTCTTTCACGGACAAAATTATCAAGAATCTCTCCGTAACTTTTAGAAAATGGTTAGACAGAACTGGACCCTGACAGGGAGATCTACTCTCCCTGGTCTACTATACTTTGTAATTTGTTTTGAATTTTGTAAACATTTATACATAAATTTATATAGTATTTATCATGATGTTCTGTATTACAGTTAGTGTTGTATCCGTTCTGTTATACAGGTTATAATATTTGCCACGGTGCAACACATTTTAGACAAAATAATCTACTGGAGTGTACTGGCTGCAGTGTGTAGGAACAAACCCTCTGCAAGGAGTGTTCATTTAAAAAAAGGGCTTTTTAAATGGCTATAACTTTCTAAAATGTTTTGCATTTTTTCTTGTAGGTCTGGTCTGCCCAGCTGGGGATATTTTTGAAAGTTGAACAAAAACAGCTTAGATGCTAGTAGACGAAATATAAGTAAAAACATACTTCCTGCTTCTTTAAAAAATGAAGCTTTTGGTAAAAATAGAAATTCAGCTGATGTGTCTTGGGCATGAAAGCTGTGTTTGGAAAGGAAATAGTCTTCACCAAGGGGTGTGAACAGTCTCATTCCAAAGGAAATGGTTTTGATTTCTCTGAGGTTTTTAAAAATTGCTCAGGACCTGATCTGAAGCCCATTGACGTCAAAGGAAAGATTCACTGTGCCTTCAACAGGCTTAGGACCAAGTGTGAAATGAGCATGGGCAGCTGTTTGAGGCCTTTACATCACCACCATCAATTTAGCATCTGATTCTTAGAATGTGTCTTACTTGGACTCTGGCTTTGGGATAGTGGATATAATTGCATCTCCAAAAGTAACTGCAAGTATAAATCAGTGATGAATTCTTTTTGTACCTAGATTAAAAGTTTGATCTTGGTGATGAATTCTGTTATGCAGACAGCAGAGAATGGGACTTAGGGGTTGTTTCAGGCTCATTTTGGTGCCCTGGGTGATTCCACATTCCTAATTTTCGCAGCAACTGCTAGTCCACGAGCTACCTCAGATCTTGTTTGGGCAAAAGCTTTGACAGGACAAGGGATGCTGAACTGGACTTTAAGTTGCTGCATTCTGTAGTTGAAGAGTTTGTTTAGAAGAGCTGAAGAGAAAACATTCTTATAGGATGAGTGAAGGATGAGTGAAGGATGTTGCACTTCTGATGACTATTCATGAATGACATAGATGGGATAAATTGAGATGCTTTTTTCTGACAAATACAGACAGATATATAGACATACATTTACTGCCTATTAATGAGTATTTAATCTGCAGTCTAAAGCCATGTCAGAGTAAATTAATAAAATTACAGATGTGCTCTGCTGGCCAAATGTGAGTAAAAGAGACTGCAGAAATATCTGTAAATGTTTTTCAGGTGGAGAGTGTAAAAACACTGGAATCTCCACCTGGGATAAAGCTGCGTCTTCAGTTGCAGGAATTTCTGAAGGAAAGAGACTATGTTAACTGACTTGGAGAGGACAGACAGACAGGGAAGAGACTTTTGACTGAGATCCAGGTTGAATTTTTCCATACCATAATGTGGTCTTGGGGAGATATCCAGCTGCCTTAACTTGGATCAGCCAGTTAGGTGCTCTGCTTGACTTGTGAGGCTGGGTGCTGGAATGAGAGTGAGGCAAGTCAAGAAAAAAAGATTTTCTCCACAACAGAAAAATGCATTACATAAGAAAGACATAGAAAAAAAAAATCTTCCCAACATCCCACTGTGATTACTATTTTTTTTTTTGTCTAAACTATTTACCTTCCTTTAAAATCTCTACAGCATGTAAGCACCAACAATGACCACACTTAAATGGCTAACTGGCTGCAGGAAAAAAATGTGCTAAATTTCTCTTAAGCAAAAAGAATATTATCCAACTGACCAGAAAGATAAATAGAAGATTTTTGCTTATTTCCAATCAAGTTTTGATGTATTAGAAGATCAGTTAAAATTCTGAATAAATTGCTGGTGATGTTGAAGCATAAAATTTATATAATTAAATAGTACCTCATTCTGACACTATTGCTGATTTAAATTATTTGGATTTCTAGTACCGAAATATGGGACTGAACAGAGGATAAAAAATGTATCTGCTGAGTACTTCAAATCTAAGCTATGAAAAGTTGCTAAGCATATATTTCTTACATTGTTCAACTTGCCAATCTCATTGTTCACATAAATACTTCTTGCAAAGCTTACTTTTATAACCCTTTCTTAATCCTGCCTGCTTCTTTTGTTTTACTTTATACCGATGTAAAATCTCTACCAAGGACTCTGGTTCTGGGCTTTTTCCAAATCAAATATACGTAACTAAATGTTGTTTCTTCTATAGTAACAGTAAACAGCTTATGAAACTAACACCTGCTGGTAAGAAGAGAACCCTCAAAGGCTTAATTTTAAAGAAGATTCATTCTAGTCTTTATTTTCATCAGCTCTTAACAATTGACCTGTAATTCTCTTGGGACCAATAATGACAATGACTTACCAAAGATTTTCTGCACGATTTAAAAATTTTCTTTTTAGATGTTCTTCGGTGACAGTTTCCTCTCAGTGCGTGCAATCTACAGATCTGTTGAATTGTGGGCTCAGAGTGATACTGTTTCCACGTTGTATATGAGGATAGTCTAAAACATTTTGTGTAGTCACATTTTGCTATAAAGCTATGCAGATTTAGGTCACAAGTCCCACTTAAACTACATCATATAATTTACAGTTGTTCCAGATCCAATAGCCAATTTAAAATTGAAAGTTAATACATTATATTAATAATATCATACTGCCTATGGGATCATTTGTCAGCGTTACCATAAAAGACTGATGATTTGATAACTGAAGAATATTTATTATAGGGGCAATTTGTACTATTATACTATAAATAAGAAATGTCTTGGCATTTCTATAATAAATCCTATTTTCAGTGGTCTATTACTCGGTTATAAAAAAATCACCCTGGGCTGAATTAGATCTATTGGACGTACAACAGCAATAATATATTACCAAAATGAACATTTAATCCAGTGAATAATACGGCCTTGAAAAATCCTTAAATATGTATTAAATTGATCACAGATACTATTTACATAGAGATTGGAATAAATCTTTTGGATATCGTCAATATTCTAAACAAAGGTCTATAGGTATGATGCTGATCTTATTTGCATAGGAGTAAATCATATCTAAAACTACACTGGTGTCAAGAGAGCTGCCCAAGGGAGAAATGATCCCTGATGAAAAATATGAAAGAGAACAAAATCAGACATGGATATAGAATTATTCAAAATTAGCTATATAGGATGGGCTCAGATAAAATGTAAGAAGCTGTCAAACATCATACATGCTGTCAGACTTTTAAAAGACCTGACACTGAGTAAAAAGAGAAACTATATCTAGGGAATGACACTTGGTAATTTCTGTTTATCCTTGGCCAGGTATATCCTGCCTGAATAGTTATCAGCAACATAAGGGATGTCAGCACCACCTTTCCCTTGGCATGCAGGAGTTGGACACAGGTGCCAGGACTGTCCCTTCCCAGTGTTCGCTGGGTGTGAACCCCAGCAAAGAGGATGAGGGGGTGTGGGAAGGAGATGGGCCCACAGAGGTGCTGAGCAACATCAACGCAGGTGGTGCACAGCATGTGCATTTTACTGACATGCTGTGCTGCACTGGAGGCACTGTGCCTCTCCAAGGTATAATCCCTTCCAGAGTTCTCCTCAGAGTTGTACGAATACACATCACCCTTTAATTAACACCGTGCCTAGGAGGCACAACTGAGCCTTTAGTATAGCCACGGGCTTTACATACACCTTAACTTGCAAATTGCAGATAAAAGTACTCAATTTAAGTATAAACTGTCTCTTTCTTTTTTTTTAAGAAGGACCTTGATTTACATATGGAAGAGAAAGTAATTACATTTAACAGATGTCACAGCTCTTAAAGAATATTTGATAATAATTAATCACTAAGAAAAAAACAGAAAGCAGAAAATTCAATTAATTTCAGAGCTGCAGTCAAAACCCCAACCACTGAAAGGAAATTTTACTCTGTTCTGTTCTACTCAATTATATCCTATCCTATTCTTTCCCAGATTTTACATTACACATATAATTTTAATATTGAAGCTTCTTTCCAGAATACTACATTCAACAATATGATTGCATTCCATCATCTGTTCCATCAACTATATTCCATGAAGTCAATCAGAGCTGTGACATCTCAGTGTCATGCAGGTCTGCCAGGCATCTTTCACAATTCTCTAGCCACTGGATGGATTTTTTAACGTAGATTTCATCAGAGTTTATTCTCATCATAACGTTGAGAAAGTGAATGCTAAGTGAATCTAATCCTGATGCGCCTCTACCCCTCCCTCCACCATCAGCATGTCAGAGCACTGGGCTTCTGTGTTTATAAATGGTCTCTACCCTCCTATCTATCCATTTTGCTCAACTACTCTCTCAGCATAGTGCAGGATGCTCACAAGACCTTTTCTTGAATACCCATCTCATGATATTAGACAGACACCAGGGCATATGTGACATTTTTATGCTATGTCAATACAATATCATGAGTACCTACACCAAACAGTATGGGATTTCAATGAGTTTAAAGAGATTTGCCCAGCATTTTTATTCTATGTTTTCTTCTCTTTTAACTAACAGCTATTAGCAGCTTCTGGTTTAAATGGGATTATGGCCTGAAACACAAAATGTTTTACTTTGCTAGTCAATGTTTTACATCTTTTTCAACACATATATCCAAAGAAGAAAATGGTTTATCTTGGAGTCCACATCAAAAGAATGTTAGAAGTTATCAAAGAAAGTGGAGAGTAGAGCATATGCTGTTCTAAGGATGGCTTCAATCCTCTAAAAATTAGAAGGCAGATTCTGCTTTCACTGGTATCAGTGGAAACATCTGACTCCAGAATATGAATAATCAGATCCTGTAATATTTAAACACAGACATATATTGCTAAGGGGAAGTATACAGGATATTTTTTACTCAATATTAAAACATAAATGCATATAACATAAGCCTAAAGGACAAGTTTTACTGAGAAGAGAATAATGAATGAACCAGAATTTGCAAGGATCATACCATTAGCTCTTTAACCTTTCTGAGCATCAGGGTGTATTTTACTTGTTTTCTTTTATCACAGAAAGGTTTTTATTGTAAAGTTGTTGCTGTAGATGCTCAAGTGAACTGGAATTTCTTAACTCCATTCATTTATGGAGTTTTGCCAGCTGGTGCTAGCTGGTTTTGCTGGTTTTGCTGTTGATTATAGCTTGTTTATAATATAAATCTCTTCTATAATAGAAGAGGTGCTTCAGTCAAAAGTAGCGGAGAGATGTTGATGAGTTGCTAACTCAGAGCTTTCTTGTTCAAATCATGATGTAGGCAAAGCAAGTGAGCAGCTATTTCTCTCCCTCAGAAGGACCAGGCAATGGGTCTTGTTTCTCCCTGAAGTTAAGACACGTTCACTGTCACCTTCAATGTGCAAGAAAGTCTCTGTAAGCACAACTTGGGTCACTACAGACATCCCAATCTGGGACAGAGGTGGCAGTGATGCAGTCACGTTGTTGATTTGTTTCTCTGTACAGAGCACAGTTCTTGATTTCTTTTCCATGGAAGCAAAAAAGCAAACCTGTAAGTTCAGGACATAGTTCCAGTCTACCTTCCACATAATTTACTTCAATTGTGATTCTAATGCAAAAAGTAGTCTATCTTCAAAGAAGTTCCTTGGAGCAGGTAATGTTAGCATTGGATAGTCAAATCAGGTTTTCCTTCCTATGACAGCCTACCCAGAAAGCCAGTCAAGGTATCAGCCCAAACAGATATCAGCATCCAGGAAAACCTTGCCCTCTACCTGTCAGGAGGCATTTTGTCTCGGGATATATCAGAATCTGCAGTCATACCCTACCTGCAAATACCTGTGGTGGTCTCAAGTACACATTGTCTCACCATAACGATAGGGAAGCTCAAGGTGAACTTGTGTCTAATAGGGCTGCAAGTTAATGCACCATTGCCTGAGGACAGCCTGTGGAGTTGAATTGGTCATTAACAGCTTAAAAACCACTACCAAGCAAACAAAGACTAAATGAGCATAAGAACAAAGAACAGAAAAATAAGCTATTGAAAGCAGGACTTTCTGAAGTTCATGGGCCACTGATTTGACACGTTTTCCATCTCTGGTTCTAAATGACTAGGTAAGACTGTTCAGAACCATAAGGGTCACACGTTCATTCAAAACTGGGTAGAAAAAATTAAATCAGATTATTTCACTGATGCCCCTGACTAGGCAGACTCCATGTATTTGTGAGGGGAATGTTTTAAACTTCCATCCAAAAAATAAATGACCTCTCATGACATGCCTGATAATTTAGGGTCTTAGGTTTTTGAATTGTGCTACTGTGTGTAGCTGAAAATTGTTTGATAAACATCACTAAGTGGCCTGGCTTTAAACCAAGCCTGTCATCTAGTGGAGTGCTATGCTATTCCAACCTTAATCTAGATAACTGGCACACATAAAATAAGGAAACACAAATGTGACACAGCTGCAGCTAGTCTGCCAGAGCTAAAATGCTTATCAGTGTTTTATACCTGTAATACGAGACTACTTACTGATGGGAGAATCCTATGTACAAAAGAATGACAATCAGATTGCTTTGATATAATTGGTTCTAAAAATGTTGGAGATTCAGAATTTATGGTGCCTTTGGTTTACAGTAAAATGCTTCTTGTACTATGACTTCAGTAGACATAAAAAATGCTGCAGAACTATGGCCAAACTCCACAAGGTACTGCCCAACATGTGCAGCTAGCAAGGTTTTCAGTAAAAAATAGGTTAGTGATCAACAGCCTAAAGCAAGGCCCCTGACATAACTTCGAGTGATTTGCTAAGCAATCCATGTGCCCTTTCTGAGTAAAGTATCTGAATGTGCTAGGAAAACACAATGTATGCATTAAATTTACTAAATTAGAGTTGGTATAGTAAATTAAATAAATAGCGTGTGATCTAATTGCTTTTGTCAATAGTGCATTGATTATAATGCCACATACTGTACTAAAAATTTAATAAATACAGAAAGTCAACTGGATAACTAGAGCATAAGTATGTCAAGTTCTGGCACCTGAGGCAGATATAAGCAACCTTATTTGTGTTCTAGAAGTAAAGAAAAAAAATACACTTGCCCTACATTTCAAAACAGAAAACAGGTGCTCAGGAAAGAAATAGATCTGCTCCTTTAATTTTGGGCCTAGAGACAATATGGGAGAAAATCAATTCTGGTAGTAGAAGAGACAGAGGAACAGAAATGTAAACCAGAAATTCTTTGCTCAACCAAGCTGTATTGTACAGCTGTACTGAACCTGTTATGAGGTCCATACTATATACTTTTGTTTCTCAAGCATTATCTCTACAAAGGTGTAACATGCATGCGTGTGATTACAATATTGCTTGAAAAATCTGAAATAGCTGCCAGATTTACCAGCATGTCACTGGGATGCTAAAAGCCAATGGCTTTGGCTCCTTTTTTTGCAGCAACTGAAAAATATTGTACAGAGTGGAGTAAATACCTATGCACGGGCTTGCTCTCCTGGGACAGTGGTGTCCTGTCATCCATGAAATGCTTGTAGAGTTTTTCTGAGACAAATGGTCCAACCTGGAGGCTGATGTAACCTCTGCAGCTCACACCAGACTGCACAGAACTGCTCAGGCTGGGCAGACCTGATACCACCATCAGATGAGAAAGAATTTTCCCAGGCAAATCAAAGCTGCATAATTTCCACAAAATACTAATAGCTGTCACAAAGCTGTGAGCTAGCGAAGACAAAACAACGCAAAAATATTAAGGGTGGCTACTGGCAATGACAGCAGATTCCAGAGCTGGAAGTCATCTAACTGGCTTGTTTTTGAAAAGTCTATAACTTTACATAGCAATTTTCCCTGATTCCTCTTGGCTGTTAGGCACTGTCACCAGATATATTCAAAGCTGCCATGTTTGTTTTTTTTTCATTGGGTGTCCAAGATAACCTTCATAAAAACTTGTATGTTTTCAAACTATATCAGGATTCTAAGGCTCAGTTGATAAGCATTTGTGACTAATCTGATTTAGGGGAGGATGACATGCAATTAAGCTGATGATCAGCTTGCATTTTGTGACCACTAAATCCCTATAAAGATGGCATTCTCCTTTTTATGACTTGATCACACTCCTCCCCAAAAAATAATCCAAGAAGCTCCAGGTCCAATTATTCACAAGAGTCTGATCCAGAAAAGTAAACATTTGAGAAAGTGTGAAATTTTAAGCATTTGGGTAGTTCTACCAGCTTCAACCTACTCATTTTATGCTGGATCAGTCTCAGACTAGAGTGAGATATCTGTGAGAATGTAAGTACCCAGTATTCTGCATATACCCCTTCAGTTGGGTTGTGTAATGGTTTTTTTTGCACTGGAATGTAGTGAGTTGAGCATTTGTTTGGAAGCTTGGATGCTAGTGTAGAAGAGTGGCATTTATCCTCAATTAGATACATGTAGTAAATAGATGTTGGGTGTTTCTAAATAATAAAGCATTATTTACCTTTACATATAGTATGAATGTTTGCCCAGAAAAGATGCATTCCCTCTCTCTGTAGTGAGAGGCAGGGCACAAAGTTTGGTGAATGCGTCTCTTTGCACACACAGATGTGAGTGTATTTTATGTTTAAACTCAGTACATGTTTTAAAACACATACCAAAAACTGATTACTTGCAAGGATGGGTAACAGTATGTGGTTAAAGTTTAGGCAAGCACATAATTGTGTAATGAAATCACTTAAATGCATTGGAAAATCCACTTTCCTTTCACCCTTGGAAAAACTGATCCGCATGGGAAGAACTGGAATTTTATGCTGAGGTTTTAACTTCTGTTCCCTCAGCCTTCTCACATACCCTCTCGCCCTTTCTGCTGGGCCTACAGCTTTTACATGTCTCTCCATGACTCTCTTCCTTTTGTCTGCCTCCTCAATGGCTCCAGAGTCCTAAAGAAATGTTCAGCTTTGAAGACTGGCCTAAAAAAATGGTAATTTTCCAGACAAAGGCCAGGTGTTACTTCCAATTCATTCAGTATGCATCCCTATTATCCTGCGGGTCAGCTCCCGCTGGGCGCGCTCCATGGGTGTTCTGACTGCGTAAGGCCTGTGAGATTTGCCCCGTGTGACTGAACTGCAGATGGAACTTTCATATCTCTTATTTTAG